GAATTCCTGGACCTGCCACTGTATACCTAATAGGAGAAAGTATTAAGAATAGATACCACTTTAATGGTACTCTCAAACTCTAAAACTGCAATTTTTTTAAAGCAGTGTTTCTTGACAAAAAGATCGGCCTGATGGGAGTCTACGGTATTTATCGATGGGGATACTACAACTCCTGGATCTTCTCAGACGCACCATTGGTGTAGGGCTTTGAGACACTAAGATTTTTAGTCATGAAATCCCCATTCTCAAAGGCTCATGGTTTCCAATCTGTATTTAGAGAGAGCATTTGCTATTGGATGATAAATAATTTTTATAGGGAATGTTGGCTGGCATTAGCAATTGCTATACACGCTTTTTACCAGATTTTATTTATATTAAAGCAATTTTAGAAAAGTAATACTACTCTCGATGCTTAAGAGATTGTATTAATAAAGCTGTATATCTATAAAACATTGGAAGGCAAAGATAATGTAGTTGGAATTGGGGGATGGATTGCGGTATTTTAAGTGCTTACTTCAAGTAAGAAGATGCTTTTTATTTAATTCATTAATTTTCATCTAAAATATTTGAAATGAATACCAAATTATTAAATATTTATTATATATACTTTTTATATCCTTCACATCCAAGAGCAAGTACACTCGCCAATTACGGGATGGGTGGATGTGCTACAGTATGTCTCTTTATGTTGATTTTTTCAATGATGAAAAAAAAAATCCTAGTCTTACACTTGAACTACAGTATGACCAGGGAACTGAAACACAGACATCAATGATGATGTTGATGCTGATAATGATGATGATGATGATGATAACAATGACGATGATGGTGTTGATGATGAAAAAGATGGTTCCAAGTGGATATTGGCCCACGATGGTATTTAAAGCACAATAAAATTGAATTGAAAATGCTGATGATGATGATGATCAAAATGCTGAAGATGTAGATGGTGATGAAGATTATAATGATAATGATAATGGTGATATGATGAATATAACAATGTCGATGTCTGATGGTGGTGAAAATGCTGGTGGTGAAGAAGATGATGGCAATGATGATGATAATGATTATGAGGATGACCATGATGTAGGTAATATAACAATTTAAATCATGATGACGGCAAAAATGATGATCTTGTGATTTGTTGCCTGATAAACTAAAAAAAAATTGATAAAATTATTTTAAAATAATGTGAACAACACATGCAAAGAAATAAAAACTTCTCTTGAATGTAGGTGTCAATTATTATCATCACTTTAATTAGACAACTGTGAATGTAAATCTGTAATCATTTTCAGATTACAATACGTGGCCTTATTAACAACAAAAACACTCCAAAATTACGAACAAAATAATAACAGTAATTGATAGTTGTTTATCTTGAAGTGGGATAAAAAATATTAATCTTTGGAATTAATGGGGATGAAATTAAAAGGTCGTTCCAGAAAATGTGGTCACTTACTGTTAGTTGATGACTATAAAAAGCGTACACAAGAAATATTGATTCGATGGTGACACAATAATTGGAATGAAAACCGTACTAAAGAATTTGTACTGACAGATAAACGTTGAAGGTTAAAACACTGAAAATATTTAAAATGTTTTGAAAATTGGCAAAAAATTTTCTTAGAAATAATTTGTCATTTCAGTTGATCAAAGACAAGAAACAAAAAATATGTTTCACTTAATTTTTCTTGAATGTTCTGATTATCGTATCCTTCTAAATTAGATGGTTCTTGAGGTGGTTTTTTTTTTTCATTTATGCAATATGTTACATGAAAAATACAATAAATACCTCCATGTGAGCATTAAATATACATTTTAGTTTTTGTGATACATATTTAAATTGAGATTTACAGAATTTGTAGTCAATGGACCTTTCTACTAAGCCCCGCCCCTTGGATACGGTTGCTATGGTGACACAAAACATCAGTGTAAAAACATACGCTAACATGTAACTTTGTGGGACAACATGTGTGTTGGACGCTCGTATTCCTGACCCTCTTCTGATGGGTCAGTTAAGTTTGATTGACAATGTGGTAGGGGTTTAGCCAGAAAAATGAAATAGGCTGTCCAAAACTTGCTTTAGTTTAATGCAACATTTGATAAACTCAAAGAATATAAAGAATTTGCTAAAGGTAGATCAGGTCCAACTAGGGTAGAAGTGGCCGTCCTAAATAACTGTTGGCCATCCAAAAGACGGCCGGACAGCTCGCTGAATAAGCCCTTGCATTCTGGAAAGGTCTATTAACGGTTGTGGCTCTGACTCCCAACTTTGGGCTTGGGGATTTGAAATCCTCGCTGTTCAAGTCATTTGCAACCTTAAAAAAGACACTTTATGTTTGTCCCTCTCTACCTAGAAGTATAAATGGATATCGGCACATACTGGAAAAATGAAACAGATTTAACAGTGCGGGAGAAGTGCCGAACCCCCTACAGCCTTGCACAGTTTGGTTCAAGCACCATCAGAAAGAGAGATGTGCACTCCGACCTTAGATCATTTACTTTAGTTCAGTACAACTCAATTTAACCTTAAGCTGTTTGGAGATGTTTTAAAGGTATTAGGCTAAAAGATTTTTTTTTTATTAAGTTTTGTTTTTGGGTGAGCTTAAGCCACTAATACAACTGGTTGAGGTACTTATTGATACCTGACAAAAAAGATAGAGCACTTGGTCACAGACTTTCTGTACTATGGCCTGTTACGTATAGCCTTTTGAGTTTGTAAATGAAACTTGATGATTTGATTAATTAATGAAGAATTAATATATATGAGGTCTAGGCTTATGAGGTATAGAAAGTGCATGCTATAAGAATTTACAATGCGTTCAATTACCGATTTCATTACATTAATGTTATGAATAAATAATATTAACAAGTAATAGAAATCATTTGCCAGTCATCGTGTATACGTGCATGCGATACCTTGTACGTGGGCGTTATTTGGCAAAACACCAACCATGACCCATTGTATTCATCATTGATTTATATATTTATATAATTACAAGAGAAACATTTATATGCTAATAAATATCAATAAATAAGATAATGACAATTCTAAATGATGAGAAATTGTGGTAGCTAGGTGATACAGAAAATATTTATATTTTGGAAATGACGATTACGTGCACCGAGAAGTAATGTTCCATGACAGCGCAATAGTAAAGTTCATATCAAGAAGACCCACGCACAATAAAGTGATCAATATTATTATTATATTATTTGAGATCATCTCCTTGTCTTGAATTCATAACATCATCTACTTAATAAGTGATTTTTTAAAAAATGAACAGGAAAACTAAAAAATGAGAAAATCCATAAATTTGAATTAGGAGGCAAATAGAAAATGATATTAGTTTAGTCATCATGCAATAAAAGTTAGAATATTTTTCAACCAAACATGTTTATCTTTATTAAGTAGGTTTTAATTAGTCATGATATTTCTTATAGGCAGTGGGGTAACGCCCATGAGCTCTCGGCGGGACAAAGTCTTATAGAGATATGTATACTTTATATAGAGTTTATTTTATCCATTGTCAATAATGTAAATCATTTTTATTAATATTTTTCTTTCTTTGTTATGCTTTTTACCTGTAGTTTTATCAAACTGTATTTTCTTTTTAATGTATGTGAGCGATAAAAATGACGAGCTTTGCTGGGATGGCATACAATCATTAAACATAATAATAATAATAATAGAAATTGCAAATTGCAAGTGAAGTGCTGCGAAGTACAACTGCATATAAATGTTCTTCGAACAAAATT